CCAGCTCACTGCCTGGCCCGTCCTCCTGCTCTGGGCCCCCGCCCTCCTCTTCCTCTGGCCCATCGCCAGCCCACAGCTCCCCGCCCTCTTCTCCGGACGCTCTTGGCCATGCTGTTAATAATAGGCCAGCCCAGTTCGAGGCTCCAACCTCACCCGAGCCCACTGCCCAACGGCCCACTGCTCCGCCGCCTATCCTGCGCTCCCATCAGATGAGAACTCGGGCCCGGTCTGGTATTCACAAGCCCAAGCGGCTATTTCCAGCTCTATTTACAACCCGGGCGCCACCCCTTGAGCCTCGTTCAGTCAAAGAAGCAATGCAGTATGCTGAATGGGACTCCGCTCTTCGCCATGAGCACAATGCTCTTCTACGCAATCACACTTGGGATCTTGTTCCTCGCCAACTTCACTTCAACGTTTTGGGCAACAAATGGGTCTACCGGATTAAGCATCACTCTGATGGCTCCATCAATCTCTTCAAATGCCGCCTTGTTGCGAAGGGTTTTCATCAACGCCCGGTGTGGATTTTCAGGATACATACAGTCCTGTTGTCAAACCTGTGACTGTCCGCACGGTTTTCACCATTGCTCTCTCTCAGAGTTGGCCCATTAAGCAGTTTGATGTCAACAATGCTTTCCTTCAAGGCCCCCATAGATGATGAGGTCTACATGGTCCAACCTCCAGGCTTTGTCGATCCACTGCATCCACACCATGTTTGCCGCCTTCGTCGTGCTATCTATGGCTTACGTCAAGCCCCTCGGGCCTGGTACACTGCTCTTAGTTCTTTTTCTCATTGAGTTTGGCTTCAAGAAGACTGAATCTGATGCGTCCCTCTTCGTCTATCAGCATTCGGGCATTATTCTCTATTTTCTGGTCTATGTTGACGATCTATTGCTCACCGGCAATGATGCTTCCACTCTTACAGCCTTCCAGTCCGCTCTTGCCCACAAGTTTTCCCTCAAAGCACTGGGTGATGCGAATTACTTTCTAGGGATAGAGGTTATACCGACATCGACGTGCTATATTCTCTCTCAACACAAGTATATGACCGACATTCTTGCCTGATTTCATATGTTAAGAGCTGCTCCTGTCTCCACGCCCCTCGCCTCCTCTGTCTCCTTGTCCCTTCATGATGGCACCTGTCCGACTGATGCTACGCGGTTTCGGCAAGTCTTGGGTGCTCTCCAGTACCTCGTCTACACCCGTCCTGACATTGCCTTCTCCGTCAACAAGCTCTCCCAGTACATGCACTCTCCGTCCTCTCATCATTGGCAGTGCCTCAAACGGCTACTTCGCTATGTTTGTAGTACTATCTCCCATGGCTTGGCCATCCGGCGATCATCTCTTCCTGTGTGCGTCACTACCTTTGCCGACTCTGACTGGGCCGGGAACATTGATGATCGCACATCCACCTCCGCCTATCTGGTATACCTGGGCTCCACTCTCATCTCCTGGCGTTCTCAGAAACAACGGACAGTTGCCCGCTCTAGTACAGAAGCCGAATATCGTGCCATTGCCCATGCGACTGCTTAGCTGGAATGGGTTCGCAATCTCTTACAAGAGCTTCATCAACCCCTCACCGAGTCTCCCACTGTCCTCTCAGATAATCTTGGTGCCACTTATTTCAGTGCCAATCCGGTTTTCCACTCTCGCATGAAGCATTTGGCTCTTGACTATCATTTTGTTCGACAACTTGTTCAGTCTGGCCGTCTCAGTGTCCGATATATACCGACTGCGCAGCAACTGGCCAACATGCTGACCAAGCCTCTACCCGCCTCTCGGTTCCTGCTTCTTCGGTCCAAGATTGGAGTCGTTGACACCTCCTCCATCTTGCAGGGGCGTATTAGAGAAAAAGAATAACCATTCTTTTTATTTTTGTGCCTTTTACTCGACCCTCTCTCTCTCCCTGTAACCTCTCCACTTCTCCTATACTTTCTCCACTATACTTCATTCTCTCAGCGGTATCTCCTGTAAAAGTGTATAAAACAGAACTAAATAAACCGAAGCAAATCACGTCGGATTGCATTCTGATTTTTCTCAACAACAAATCCTCTTTTCTTTTTCTTTGTCAAAAAAAAAAAAAACAAATCCTCTTTCCCAACACTAACCTTGAATCTGACAAATGAATCACATGACTAATTACTCTTATCATATGTGGTAAAAAAGGGAACAATAAAACATAAAAAAAGGGAACAATAACTTATAAGGCCTTTCAAGCGACGGCCCATTGGAAAAAAAGGCTACTCGTGAGAGGATGGTCAAAGGTCAAGCGTGATGTCTGACTAACACAAGATTCGTATCTTGGAGCTCAGGAATCTTGGATCTCATCTCATGAATGATCATGCCATCAGTTGATTAATTAGTTACAGACTAAACAACGAACACAAGTTGCTAATCAAAGTTAATGTCAGTGACTCTCAATACCAAGTAGCCTCCTGTCTGTCGGAATGCGTTTTAATATTTGATACTTCATCATACGATTACACACATTCTTCTTCCCCTTTTAGAATTATAAATTAAATAAATGATAAATTATATTACAATTCGTAGAGCTGATCACAAGGTGGATTACGAAACAACTCGAAACGTAACATGCATAATCAAAAGAATTAAATCAAAATTACAATCCCTTATTCATGACCTGCATTCACCAACCTAAATGATTCCCACGAAAATAATACGCAATTGACCAATTGTATCATAGTCTTCGTATAAAATTTCGAAATCACTTACCTTTTAAATTAGTCAAATCAGACCCTGGACTAATTGAGGAGTGAGGTTCCCTATTTTGACTAATTTTCGTCCTTCCAAAGTTGTAAAATAAGAAAGTCTTGTGTTGAAATGAAACCCACAAAAATTATTCTCCTCTTTGGAAGGTTTTAGTTAAAAGCCGAGACTTATGAATATGAAGGACCATTATATATATACATCAATCATAATGCTGGAATTTGTTTATGGAGGGGGAAATGAAGAGAGAAGACTAGAAAAAATAGTAGTAAAGCTCAATAGAATAATATCAATGGCGATCATACCAAACAAGTCAATATTTCCATCATTGAGTTGGCCATGATTGGCTTGTCTACCTCCTCCATATGCCATCCTCAATGGAAAATTATGTTTTGAGAAAAATAAAACCAATTTTAATTTAGGAAACTGAGAGAATTGTAAAAGAATTAATCAAGGAACAGTTTGGAGGAGTTGTTGCTTTGCTAGCTCATTGTCAATGCTAGCTAATTGCCATGCTCCTCGTCATCATTGTAGCTCATCATTTTGCTGTAAACAAAGAATGTTTAATACAATAGAGAACCAATGGTTTCCATTATTTTTCAGTCCAATACGAAATAGGGCGGAACTGAAAGATAAGATCTATGTGTAGATTTCGAGTTAAATTTAAAATTGAGTAAACTAAATTCACAATTTATGATATTTTTTCGTAGGAGATGTCATAAAAATTTAATTCAAGCAATTGTGTGCTTGAAAAACAAAGTGTATCGTTCAATGTGGGGACCGAGAACTCAGATATACAAAATTGAGATTTGAATCGAACAAGAATCCATCAAAGCGAAGTATTGTTCCATTCTAATTTTGATCAAATTTCGAAGAACACTTATTGTTATATCCGGGAAAAAATTAATTAGAAGCCCATTGCTTGGAAGGTCAAAACGATATCCTTGGTTTGAAGAGTCACACTTGCCTTCTCAGTATCAATGGAATTCCTATTATGCGATGCCAGTCTTGCAGAATGCAGACTACCCTCCTTCTCGCTTTCCTTTAGTTATTAGGAATGAAAAAAACAGAGAAATGTGCTTTTGTTGGCAGCCAAGGTTTGTGTTCTACAATCAGAGATGAGATGAAAGAAGTAATTGTGGAAGGAAAGGATTTACAATGGTTTGGAACAAAAGTTACAGGAAGGTTCAATCAAATTCTGATTTTGCAACGTCAATTGAAATCATCACAAAATGCTGAAGAAGATGATCATAGTCCATGGACACGCGCTTATAGCTCAACTGTTTCCTATATAGAGAAAGCAAATCTTTGGACGACTTCGGTTGGTAAAGTGCACGGCTTTTTTTTTTTTGGCACACATCGCTTCAGTTAGGAAGATCCAAACTTTTTATAGTGGCTTTCATATGATGTAAAAATTAGGATGTTTTAGCACCTCTCAAAAACTATCATCAATTTTAGATTTTTTTATATAATTTTAAAAACCTTATAAAACACGTGGATAATGTGTAAAAGAAAATACGCTAATATCGACTTTTTTTCTTTCTCTTTCCATTTATGATGAAATTTTTGAAGCACCACCACTACATGTGCTAGTATCTTTTATATTTTTACCCACATGAAACAAAATCTACTTGAATACGTATTTTTAGTGGGACTATGAAAAGGACAAGGCAGATTAGGCTGCAAAATGTATAGAGGAACGAAAATTGGAGAATTATTATGTTGTTAGTAGCTTTCACATGGGCATAGTATTATTACATCTTCCCTCCCACATAAACACATCCACTATAATCCAAAATCCATACCCTTCATAAAAACCCAAAAGAATAGAAAGACAAGAAGAAGAAGAAGCCTTCCAAAAAATGCTTAGCATCGTTAACTTCTGACCATGACAAAATGTTCACATTCTAGATAAGTGAAATTTAGTAACTTTGTTTGATAGATATTAGTGCAAGGTTCGAATCAAAACATGGTGTATGTTATCATTGCTCAAATTATCAATAGATCAGCTCATTTGAGTTTTTTGGTAGTTTTCTTATGGTGAAAATTTAGGAGTTAATTAGTATCACATTTTGCTAATTTTTTTACTAATTAATTAGTAGCATTATATAGTAGTTGGTTAAAATCTTAACCTTTACCATTTCAGAAATTAATCGCTATTTTCTCCACTACAATCCAGATGGAATAGTTATTCACTTATAATTTTCACAGCGTTGCAGGAGTGTTCATATAGTTGTGAATTTGAATTGTTTGCGTAATTTGCGTCTTTAAAATGAAGCACTTATTAAATTTTATACCCCTTTTGGCGCAAATAAATAGGCGAGGCCCGCAAGAAAGTAAATATCACGAAAAAATTATTCGAAGTTAAGTCGTCGTCAATACTAAAACACACTAGAGATAAACGAGTATAAGGTAAATGTCAATCCAATTGATGGAAAACGATAAAAAAATATAATTACCTGAATATATATTTTCCAGGCATAATTAAATAATGTCAAGACAAATTGTAACACTTCCCATTAAGAGATTAATTGTTGTCTTATTTAAAGAGAAAGATAATTAAGTAACTAAAATTAATGGGGAGGGGAGTGAAAACAATAATGGAATTAGGACCTTAATAATCTCTCTTTCCTCTATAATGCTTCCCTTTTCCTTTCTTCTCCCACCATTAATTAATCGAATCAATAACAAGAATAATGACAAGAATTTACAAAAAAAAACAGAGTTTCGCTGGCTTGCTAGCTCACTCGACTCGACTCAACTCAAACTCGGCCGATTCCGCCTCCACTCTGATTCGAACCCCGGGACGACTCAGAATGGGTCAACAACTCGGCCCGACCACTCTGTTCTTTCAGCCATCTCCATCGGTAATCCTCCTCAAAAAGGAAACTATACACTCTTCGCGTCAACTCGGCAGCAAACCCAACTCATCAACTCAGTGAAAACCCGGTATAGCAAACCAAAAAAATTATGCTAAACTAAATCCCGAGTCGACTCCCCGGGTCAGAAACCCAGAACCGAATCCGAAATTCCACCCGGCCCAGTAATCACCAGATTGTGGGTTTCTCCGCGAGCAGGGGACGCGACTCCGTCCACAAATCCGACGGCTTCCGGCGAATCGAATGGCAATTCAGCTTGAGATCCTCCAAATTCATGAATCGATTTGACCCATCGGACTTGGCTATGTACCGGATGGCTTCCTCGAAGACGGATTCGTCGCAGGGGATGGTCAGGGGACCCTGGTTGTTGGAGAACCCGAACTCTTCCTCGGCTTGGGTCAGGAGCTTGACGAAGACCGGGTGGTTCAGGTACGTGGCACGGACGACGAATCTCCGGCAGCTCGAGCCGACGCAGACGGCGACGTGGCCGGAAGGGACGTCGGAGGGGATCTGCTTGTTGGTCGCCGAGGACACCCTGGCCTTGTTCCTCCACCGCCGCAGCAGTTGGCGCAGCCTCACAATGTGGCGGATTTTGGCGCACTTGGAGAGTCCGGCCGACATTTTTTTGGAATTGGGAAGAGAGATTGAAATTTCCCGAGAAAATCCGGCGCTGTTTTGTTTCAGTTGGCAGAGAGAAAGTGAGGAGCGGAAGGAAGGGGGAATTGGAAAGGGAAGGAGGGGCGGGGGATTTATAGAAGATTGGGGTACGAGATTGCCCCTGGCTTTTGACGTAATTACGAGTTTGTTTGTGTGTTTGTTTGCTTTCTTTTTTTTTTTTTCCTTTACCTATTTTGGTTCGGATTAGCGATGGGATTAAGGATTAGGGGATAAATATATAAATAAATAAATATTGTGTCTTGATAATTCGGAACAGAAACATAAGCATATGATGTTGGGACAAAAATTAACATGGGAAAAAAGATTTATAATTTCTATTGTTATGTAGTTAGTGAGTGCATGGGGGGAAATATTTGTGCAGAGATTTGATACATTGAATTTGAGACTTGATGACAAAATTAAGGAGGAGCTTAATGAGTGGGTAATGTGGTTATGTTGTTTAGAGATTAATGGCAGTTTGACTAGATTTTGTTTTACTCTCTAGGTAGCTTGTTTAATTTTGTGACAATTAATGGGAAAAAAGAAACAGTTTAATTATCTGCTTGTGTGTTGTTAATCCTGTTATCAAAGTATTAAGTTCCCAAAGTTATAGCTACTAGCTCTATCTCCATATTTACTTAAGCTCCATTAATGGGTTTCATTTTTCTTGGTATATAAATATATAGTGTATTGCATTGTTCGTCGTCACGTTAAATATTAACTTGAGATTATGAGTTGTGACCTACCTAGATAATTTTTAAAAAAGCCATATCAACAATCCACGAGGATCCAACCCACTCGCTAATCAGGATGATTTGTATTTGGTGAATTTAGTTGTATGATTCCATGTTTATTTTTTGAACTTCAAGAATACAGAAGTTCAGATATATATACACGTAACTTCAAAATGAATAACTTCGCTATCAAAAAGGGGTGAAATGTTAGAACATATATAATTGTGTACTTGTGATCCCCAAATCACCCAAGAACCATCATACCACTAAAAATAACAAACCACCGCTCGTTTAGTAGATAATGATGACTTTATGTCTTCATCATCTATGTTTCGTTTTCACTATAGCGGTTGCAAGCAAGCATGATCCAATTTGTGCTTTGTTTAACTTTCACGAGATCAAGATCAAGGCTAACTAATCTGGGTTTGAAGTTGACATTAGTGTGTGCTAATTAAACGTACGGAGATCCTTTTTTCCCGACAGCTGAATCATGTACATACATATCGGATAATGTAGTAAGAACAAGGAAAGAAAATGACAGGAGATCGAAAAGGGTATCTTTGCTACTAGATAGGTAGCTAGTTATAAAACCAGGGGCTGATCATCAACTTGGGCAATCGTCTTGTACGCTCAACCGCCGACGGTCTCATCCCTTGCTATAATTAGAGTCAGGATACGCAAGTGGGTTTACTGATATTTGTGATTGCTCGTTGCGGATCGGATCAATTCATAAAACTCTATTATGCTATATCTAATAGAAAACGGTGTAGTATTTATCGAGAGTCGTTAGATCTACTATGATTCTTGGCTTATCGATGGGCATGAAATTAAATTTCTACAACCAGGTAAAGAGATTTAAGTTCGAGTTCTCTCGCGACCCCTTGTCCCGAACACCCATCGCGTCCTAGGGGTGAAAGCTTGTCCCGGAAGATCCACTGACCCGTCCCGTCCCGTTCCTAAGAGTTGGGACGGGTCGGTTTGTCTACAGGGACAGATTAGGGACGGGTCATTTGGTGATCCTAAAAGAGTCGGGACGGGTCGGGACAACTTAGGGACGAGTCACGTTTTGACCCTGTGACCCTTAGCAACAACAAATATCTCATACTTCATTGGACCTTTTTGTAAAGTTTAAAAAGTTTAGGTACTAAATTGTAAACATAAAAAAATTTGGGTACCAAAAAGTAATTTTACCATCAAAATTTATGGACTTATTTGTAAAAAAATAAAATTTAGGTACTAAATTGTAAGAAAAAATAATTTTGGCTACCTAAACGTAATTTGTAAAAAAGTAATGTGTTGATTTGGGTCGACCCACTGACCCGTCCCGTCCTGTCCCAACCCTTAAGGGTCAGACAGGGTCAAGAAGGAGACAGGGACGGGACGGGACAGTTATACATCTTGACCCTTCAGGGACGGGTCAGACAGGGACAGGGACGGAACAAGGACGGGACAAGCAAATTTTTAGCCCTATCGCGTCCTATCCTCACCTTTCCAATGGGGACCAAACCTTAGATATTGAGGTAGGGTTGCTGTTATAAACGCGCGGCTAAGAATCGGGAAATCGACGAAATCGATAAAGTAAGAATACAAAAGCGAGAATCGTAAAACACATACACACGATTTACGTGGTTCACTAACACGATGTGTGTTAGCTAGTCCACAGGCGAGAGAGAATCAGTTTCACTATATCGAGGAGATTACATATTACAGAGGAGTATGAGAAGTATTTATAGTACTTCTCCATGTGAGTCTAAACCTAATCCAATATGGTAAAGGAAACGGTTACAGACTAGACTCAAAACCCGAACCCAAATAACAGCGAGACCCCCGACTACCAGTCTTAGCGGCTGATAGTCCGATTCAAGTCACATCAACAGGTGCCTCTTCAATCTCCATAACCTAAGTACACCCAAGTTGAATACAAAAATCATGCACTTAATTACTTGAAAAAATCATATGAGAAGATCATGTAATGTTTAAGTCAAGCCACCCATTCAATCCCTACATGCCTATGGTGACAACCCAAAAAATTGGGAATTTCTCCTCTTCAATCTCTAGGACCTTACAATCACCCAAATTAGAACCCAAGAACCATGAATCTTGATAATCATAGATAGAAAGTTGAAAGAAAGTGAATAAAGAAAGAAGGATAAGACAAGTCCATGAGTAGAATCATCTTCTCCTCCTTGATTTGATCTTTCCTAAAGGTGGCAATTATCAATCCAATCCACCAATCCATTAAAAATATCCACATAGTTCAATCCATTTGATCCAAATCCAATTGGATTGGTGGGTTCATGGATTGATCCATGGATCCAATGACAAATTACGGCTTGGTACCTATACTTTTTATATTTTACATTTTGGTACCTAAAATTTTATTTTTTATATGAAAATATCATTGAAAAATTATGTTTTAGTACCTAAATTTTTTCATAATGACATTTTAGTACCTAAACTTTTCACATTTTACATATTGGTCCAACGATGAGGATGTCATTTGGATTCATGGATAATCCACCAATCCACTTGATCAATCCATGAATCCACCAATCCATTGGATCCAATCCATTTAATCCATAAATTCACCAATCCATATATCCAATCCATTTGCCACCTTCTTTCCTTCTTGTTCTTGGATGGATTTGAGGTTTGGATGATAATGATTTGCCTCCAAAACCCTCCAAGTTTCTACCTCTCTCTAGGATGCTCCCTTGCAAAAAATCAGCTTCGAGTACTTGTTGTATCCACGTGAGGTAAGAAAAAAAAAAAAACAGCTACAAGATTACGTTCGTGATCTTTGTGCTTCTAGTTGTGTTCTTAAGGAAAATCATGGTTTGGGTCACGCCCATGGCATAGTTCACGACCACAATTCTGGTCATGATCTACCCCTTTTGGTCATGATATATGTTGTTTCTCCCTTCTTTGCATGCTTTAAACAACCTCTGAATGACATGAAACTTGTTAAAATCTTCCATGATATGCTAGAACCTATATGATGAGAAAACATACATTATCATAGAATAGAATGGAATAAGACAAGCAAACTACAAGCCAAATGCGATCATAATCTTGTTAGTACTAGAATATCACCAATTAACTACACTTGGCACAATATCAATCTAAAACAACCAAAGCATGATGATTATAAATTCCGTTTTCTAGAATATATATGCACAAATTATGAATTGTCAATTTATTAAATCCAAAAAGGATGAATTACTCATTCTCCGGGAAGCAATTTTGTGGTGTCTATCACATTGTTTCACAGAAATGAGGTTTGAAGGTGATGCCAAAGTGATCATCGACAAGATCAATCGGGGGATACAAATGATAACCGGATTGGAGCTATTCTTGAGGAGATAGTCCATTGTGTTGCCACTCATGTTGGTTTTAGTGTTCGATTTGTCGGACGACGTAACAATAGGGTAGCTCATTTGATGGCTCGCAAGACCCTTTCATTGTACCCGACTATGAGTCGTTTCTTTGATTTTTCAGGTCTGGCTGAATTCCAGGATGTAACTTGTTTTTTCAATCCATATATGATTATCTTTTGTTATAAAAAAAAAGCGTTGAACAACTCATGATAAGTTGAGTGATTTACTCTCAACATAGAGATAATACATACAAGCACTTCTACTATGCTTTAAAGCATTGGTCCTTTAAAGTACAAATTTAAGTTGTACCATAAGAGAATTTGCTTTTTTCAACTTTAAATTGTACCATAGCATAAACATACAACTTTAGTTTGTACCATAAAGAGATTTATGCAAAAGAGTATAGGTACAACACGAAGTTGTACCATAACGTTATTAAAGATACAACTTCAAATTGTACCATAAAGACCAAAAACCGAACCACCAATACTTTAAAGTATTGTAAAATTCCTCAATACATAGCATCTGTACGATCTATGCATGAGTGTTTATTGAATTTCTCTACTAACAATCACCATTTCCTTAAAAAGATTGGATATTGAGTTTCCTAGCTACATTTATTAACCGATCGATTTGTTCATTGAACACGTAAGACTGACTGACTTGTTGGTAACCATCTCCCTTGGCCACTCAACTTTCCTTCTAAATAGATTTTTGTATTTTCTTTCAAAGATTATATAGATCTCCTCGTTAGGTTTTTCTATTACAGGTTTAAGAAATTTCTTTTGTTTAGTCGTATCTATTAGCCGTAAGCTATGTGAAAACAAAATCAACCATGTAAATAAGAACAACCCATAATATTTTCTTTCTAACAATCTCCGTGTTTCTAAACATTGTATGCACCCTACATGTCTAATTTTTTCGTCGAGTCTTTCAGTTATAGGCTAAATTACACTTTTGGTCACTCAAATTATACAAATCTTTCACGTTTGCCATTCAAATTACTTTTCTTTCTTATTCGCCACTAACTTTACGAATCGTTTCACGGTTGGTCACCGGCCGTTACACTCCGTTAAGTTTGTCCTACGTGGCAGTCAACTATAAAGTTTGACCGTTAACTAGATGACGTGGAAATTAAAAAAAAAATCTTTCCACCTCATCATTGCACTTATTTTGTCTATATAATTTATCATATTAATAATTTAATAAAATTTAATAAATTACAAAAATGGGCAAATCCAAATGCTCATCTTCATCTCTTCAATTGCTCTGATTTTGCAAGGTTCGGCCTTGGATGGCGTCCTCGGCGAACCAACTCTGGCTTTCCCTGCAGCTTGCTTGCTCTGTTTTCTCTGCATCGGCTCGCCGCTTATGTGCAGAGACTTCCTCGTATCTTTCACTTTGCCCCACTCGGCCGACGAGAGAATCTCCGCCGCAAGCTCGAAATTTCCCGCCTTTGTGGATGAATCCCACGCGGCGCCTTCTAATTCTGAAACCGCCGCCTGCTTCTTGAATTCTGGGCTCTCTGCCTCTGCATTCCTCCCCTGTTTTTTCTTCGCTTCAACAACTTCTCTGAGCCCAGTTGCCGTTTCGAATTCGATCTCCTCGCTTTCTTCTGTGTGCTCGCCAATCTCAGCCTTGGAGTCCTGATTTCCACAGCCGTCTTTCTCGTACCCTCGGCCGGCAAAAACGCGGAATTCCCAACTTCCTCCTCCCCTGTTCTCGTTCCTACTCTGTTTGATTTAGTGCAGCAGCTTCGGCAACTCGACGACGGAAACTTGTCGCTGTTGTCGTCTGAGACGTACTTCTTGTCACCATAAGCTTGGAATTCGTCCCCGAAGGAAAGCCTCCAGAAGGCGTCGTCATCACCGCCGTAGAATCTCCCTTCTCCACCGCCGTCGTCATCCCATTTTTGTAATTTATTAAATTTTATTAAATTATTAATATGATAAATGTCATAACCTGGGAGCTCAATTAGTACGATATTGTCCGCTTTGGGCCAAGCCCGCACGGTTTTACTCTTGGGTGTCCTCCCCAAAAGGCCTCGTACTAATGAGCTTGGTGGACACTGATATACAAGGGTCCCTTCCCTTGTATTACCGATGTGGTACTTGGATTGTCTCATAACAATCCTCCCCTCAAGACAAGGACCACGAACTTCGTGTCCTCACCTCAGCAATTATCTTGATCTGCCAGACGCCTTGTATCGATGGGCTTCTTGATACAAGGACTTTACTAGACGCAGAACTCTCTTTGATCTGCTTCCCAAATGCGGAACTCTCTTTTGATCCGCCAAGCCCAAACGTGGATCTCTCCTGGATCCACCAAACCATATGAGAATCTCAAATCCCGAGGTCACCAAACGAGGGTCCACCGAACTGACGTCCACCGCCCCGGATCTGCCGAACCTGGCTCTGATACCACTTGTCAGAGCAGAAGCGTGCAATCGATAATCCAAACCAACACGAACGAACACAAATTTAACGTGGTTCACTAACACAATGTGTGCTAGCTAATCCACGGGCATGGGAGAACAAATTTCACTAATTTGAGGAGAGTACAGGTTACAAACCAAATTCCAAACGGACAAACCAAACAAACTAACCTGACTGACCTTTCTACAGATTAGGGAGATGAAGAGTATTTATAGAACTCTTCTCCTAATCTCAAACAGAAAACCAAATACCTTATCCCAAACATACAAGGAAAAGGTCAAACAAAACCCAATCCCAAACCCAAACAAAATAGGCCTAAAACACAAAACAAACCCAAATCAAATTCAAGTCATATTCTAACAATCTCCACCTTGACTTGAATTCTCTGTCAAATACCAGATGTACCAGACGCAACCAAAGTTGCCAGATGTACCAAACGCAACCAAAGTTGCCAGATGTACCCAGACGCGATACATATCGCCAGCGTATCCAAATGCGATCGAAACCGCCAAACTCAAATGCAACCAAAATTTTCAGACACCAAACTCTTCAAATCTCCGAATTTTCCAGAACCTCCCCTGCCTCCAAATGCCCCTAAGGGCGGTCAACAACTCAAACCATTCGGCAAGTCCAACCCATGCTGAGACTTGTCATTCAAAACTAGCTTGGTGCACTTATCACCAACAGAACATGTCAAAACAGAACCTTGTAGACTATACAAGGCACCCCGCTTGACACCTTTCAAAATCACCTTAGAACCCTTGTAGACAGACAACACTCCACCTTCACCTTTGAAGTTGAAACCCTTGTTGTCGAGTAGACTCAAAGATATTATATTCTTAGTCATTTCTGGAATATGCCTAACATTGTTCAAGGTGCGAACAAAACCATCATGTGTCCTCATCCTGACGGAGCCTCTTCCAACAATCTTACAGATAGCACCATTAGCCATAGAAACATGTCCTCCATCAATCTGCTCATAAGTTGAAAAACACTCCCTGCTTGGACACATATGATAATCAGCTGCAGTATCTAAATACCACACATCCTGATGATGTACCTGTTCATTCACTGTTAAGGCTAAACCATCTTCAGAATCAGAGTTAGTTTCTTCCGCCACAGCAGCAGATGATTCCTTCTTCTCCTGATATTTCTTCAGTTTAGGACAATCAAATTTCCAATGTCCTTTCTCCTTGCAGTAATGACAGATATCATCCTTCAAACCAGCAGAATTCGAATTTGTATTCGCCTTCCTATTACCAGATTGTTGTCTCCTACTACTCGTAGCAGCCAACCCAGATGCCTGATTTTCCGAACATGAACCAGATGCCTTATGTCGAACCTCTCTAGTATGTAGAGCAGATCTGACATCTTCCAAAGACAAACTATCTTTCCCAGCAATAAAAGAATCCACAAAATTCTCATATGACTGTGGCAAAGATACTAACAGAATTAAGGCAGCATCCTCATCATCTATTTTAACATCAATATTCCGCAGATCTAGCAAGATGGTATTGAGTTGATCTAGATGATTCCTGAGAGACATACCTTCCTCCATACGCAAACTGAACAAACTTTGCTTCATATGCAACTTGTTGGTTAAAGAATTTGTCATGTATAGACTTTCAAGCTTCAACCACAAACCCGCAGCAGTCTTCTCAGCAGCAACCTCAGTGATGATGTCATCAGCCAAACAAAGCAAGATTGTAGAGTGAGCTTTCTCCTCCAAACTAATCCACTCTTCTTCATCTATGCTTTCCTTCTTCGATTTTCCAGACAACGGAGCCCACAAACTCTGTTGTTTCAACAGTGCTTGCATCTTGATCTGCCACAAACTGAAACTGTTTCTTCCGGTAAACTTCTCAATCTTCATACTGATAGCAGCCATTCTTACTATCAAACAAACTCCAACCAAACTCCACAAAACAAAACTTCAGTCCAGCGCCAAATTCCCAAAACCGCAACCAAAGCTCTGATACCACTTGTCATAACCGGGGAGCTCAATTAGTACGATATTGTCCGCTTTGGGCCAAGCCCGCACGGTTTTACTCTTGGGTGTCCTCCCCAAAAGGCCTCGTACTAATGAGCTTGGTGGACACTAATATACAAGGGTCCCTTCCCTTGTATTACCGATGTGGTACTTGGATTGTCTCATAACAATAAATTATATAGACAAAATAAGTGCAATGATGAGGTGGAAAGAAAAAAAAAATTATTTATTTTAATTTCCACGTCATCTAGCTAACGGTCAAACTTTATAGTTGACTGCCACGTAGGACAAACTTAACAGAGTGCAACGGCCGGTGACCAACCGTGAAACGATTCGTAAAGTTAGTGGCTAATGAGAAAGAAAAGTAATTCGGGTGGCAAACGTGAAAGATTTGTATAATTTGAGTGACCAAACGTGTAATTTAGCCTTCAGTAATATAATAATTTTACATGAACAGATTAATAATTTGACATTGTCCTCATATACGGGACTGTCCCCGTTTACATAGATGATACGACTTAAGCTATACGCTATTTCCTTGTTTACATCAAAGATATGAATCCATTAGCTGAATAGCTGATTACTTAATAAGAATCTTAACTAACTCGAAGGTTTAGGAAGATTAATTTGGTGATCATCAATTCGTTGGAGTACATCCGTGCGATATAATAAGGATTATATGTACTTCTTTGGGCGCACGAAGTAAGAACTCAAAGCAAACCAACCATTGAACTATAAGAAGGGAAACTTAAAAGATGCTTTTGGGCTTTGGCTTCAACCCTCATTTCCTTGCCCTTAAAAAATATATTCCCCTCTTAACACCAACAAATTTTTATTATATACTCTCCAATTTCTGACCACTACCCCATAGGGGTGGCTATACGGTCCGGTCCGGTTAAATTGGCCCAAATTGATCCGTTCCAGTCCGGTCTTTTTGAAAATATAAGGACCGAAGATTGGATTGGATACAGTCCGGTCTTGATCCGGTCCGGTTTTGATCCGGTCCGGTCCCAATTCGGTCTTGATTTTATATTGAGATTGTGGGATTTGAGTGGCCTAAGGCCTTCAAGGGTGAGGAGTTGGTTAAGTTTTGTACTAAGTGCAAAGGTTTGTGACCGTTTATGCAAATTACCCTTAAGTTTTGGGTGTTGAGCTCTTTTATCCGGTCTTTATCCGGTTTTTTACCTCAAATCTAAGCCCAAAAATTGGATTGGATTGTTTACTATCCGGTCCCGGTCCGGTCTCGGTCCGGATTATACGGTCCAGTTTCCGGTTTTTAATCCGGTCCCGGTCCAAATAGCCACCCCTACTACCCATGTGCAAGGATGCCCCATCCCCCTCAAAGTTTCTTTTAATAAAAACATAACCCACACCTCAAAACAAACTGCCACAAATGCCCCACCACCCTCCCCCTTAATCACCCACTAATTAACTATGTAATCCTCTCTCCACTTTACTCTCACAACCCATTCTTACAAAAATGTACTCATTAAGTTAGCTGTCACTATGTTGTGAGTAAACATGATACTAATAAGCATAATTTTTTTTGACATTATAAGTCGACATGGAATTGATATAAAGCTTATACAGGAATTTGGTCGGAATATTTCATATAGAAGATGTGTATTTAATTCAGTTACAGTTAGTTAATTAATATTCAATTCTATTAGTCTGTTTTTTTTCCTTCCGGGGATTAAATGGAGTGAAACCAAAAATTACTTAACCCTTAAAATATAAACGAAACAATACATCGATATTTGGTTCACCCTAAACCCAAAAGTTGGGTCGTTCCACATCATTTCCCATCTCTAGGGCTTTGAGCGCAATGTAAAGTGCAGTATATAGAATCCTAATTGTAAACAAGGCGGAAGAAGACTCCACGAACATGTGCACATTACAAACCATACATAAATCGTTCTTATGCTACCGATCACATAAGATTTTTGTAAGTTTACAACACATTAACGATGTAGTAACTCAGTTTAATTTGGTTCTCTCCTTTAAAAAGAGAACTACCAATTAGTAAGCAAACCATTGGGTACTTTAAAGCTTGAAATTGACAAGTTCCACTTCCATTGAGCTAGCTAACAATACATATTGAGTCCTTTTGAGTGGAAAAGAGAGGGCAAGTGAGTAGGAAAGGCAGAATTAATGGTCAAAATGGGGGCAATGAAGGGGTTTATGGGGTCCTCTCTAATTTTTGCATGTTATAAGTTTGGTAGAGAAGGAAAGGGAGAGGGGGAGTGCACCTGTGTATATCTACCTTGCCTTAAGAGAAGTCACTATTATTATTATTATTATTATTATTATTATTATTATTATTATTATTATTATTATTATTATTATTATTAGCCCCATTAATCTCAATAATACCCTACCCATGTTGGGATTTAAGGATTACATGATTAAATATTATTAGCTCTAGGAACCACTGAAATATAGTTCAATGTTCTTAACCAATAATAACATCTCCAAAATCATAACAAAGTTGAAACAAAACACAGCACCCACAAACAACTGTTGTTTGTATTATAAATTTGCATGAACGAAATCGACCAATTAATGTTTTTGATGTGATTGTGATCGGATCAAAAAAGAGGAAAATAACATACTTAAGAAAAGATTTTGTGTTGGGGGAGACATAAAATTGATGTTGGAAATTTGCCATTTTTTGTTTTCTGGCTAGGACAAATTTTGCGGGCAGATATGGGGAATATATGCAGGAATTAGGGGAAGGCCGGCCATTTCGATTGATAAGAAACAAGCTGGTCAATTGGATCTTAATAAATTTTGGTAATTGGATTCCAATTGTGAGGGACAATAATTGATTATTATGTGAATTATATTTGGTAATCAAGTTTCTGATGATTCATTTGTGGATGGGGGAAAATGGATAAATTATGAGTCATAAGGAGAAGGCATGAGACGAGTCAAGTCACGTACAAGACAGTATTAAATCGAGCAAAATCATACATAAAAATGATAAAATGTATTGACTAGACTAAGGATAATGGAATTAATTCCCGCTCACAACTTTTCAATTTTTACATAATGGGGGAAACTGATTCAAAAAAGAAAAAAATGGTGACGGGTGAAAAGTGCGGAGAACATTCAATCTAAGAATCCACTAATTCATTTGAAAGATTGAGATTGATTCATACTCAGTTGATCCACATATTAATAAAAATTGATGACTTCTTACACGTTTTAATTACCAAGTACCAATGAAATTCGAATCATGTGTTCCTAAACATAAAAAATTAGATAGATAAATTCAACATGAAAGAACTTTGAATTGATCAGTTTTGAAACATCTCATTTTCTGAATGCTACTACAAACAAGCTAGTACCGCCGTTCAGGGAAGGATCAAAACGGCTGGGATCCACGGTGGAGAATGGAGAGTGACGTGGCCCAATAATGAAGCTGGAGAAGGAGGTTAATATGAGCACAGAAGTTGAAGAATACCGTTATCCCGTCCACGTACGTGTCAGAGTGGCAGCTGACATGGCACTGTCCTCGAGACTCGTAAAATAGACCATCGGTGGGTCCAAGTTAAGTGGGACCCACAAAGAAAGAGCAGAAGAAGAGCCACACGAGCCAGCCGGCGAGCCCAGTGGCCAAATTGGCTCTATGATTGTTATTTTGTTTATATATGTCTGCGACGATCGACGGCACACGAGATTGTGAAATGGAGCGTCCAGTTCGGACTGCGCGCGGAGCCCATGGCTTACTTGAGTCGAGTCATTCGCGAGTTGTTCGGTGATCAACTCGATAAAATTTCGTATGATACGAAAAAAGCTCGAATTGTTTATTAACGAGCTCAGTTTGAACTTGGTCTTGTTCAACTCGTGATCGTGAACTAGCTCGATTAGGTGGTTTGTTGAGTTCAACTAATTTACTGTCTCGTATTGAGTTCATGAGATGTTTCAACATTGTGACTAGCGAGCCAAGTCGATTACGACTTATGAGAAAATCGATCTATATCGTATGAGTTGGTTTGTTAATGATGCATAGATTTATTAAATTGTATATAACCTCATATGGTGTTTAATACTTTGAGTGTCTGAGTAGATATGTCTCATATATGACATGAGATCAATTAATCATATGTATCATACATAATATATAAATATTATAATATTTATTATAAATTATCTTAGAGTTGAACTCGAGTCGAACTAATTTTGATCTTAATGATGAGCCAAGATTTAATAAATAAACTAGCTCGTTCATAAATAAGCCAAACTTGAACAAGGCGAATCTCGATTTGGCTCATTAACGGCACTACTTATTATTATAGTCTGCGAACCTTCACCGATCGACCAGGCCGGTTCCTATTATTTTAGTCCCCGAAAAGTCGTCCCGTTCTTGTACGGGGTTTTCCAATTTGCCAGTTTTATTGTTTGTTTATAACCAAATGGTGAAGATGTAAAAAAAAAAAAAAAAACCAAATGGTGAAGATACGTTGATTTATGTTGTTGTTAGGGGGGAAAACAAAAACAAATTCAACTTGTATTGCACTTCTTTCTGTAACTATAACTTTTTGTTTGGAGATTGATTTCATCTTAAATTTAGAGAATTTCAGGAATAAATTTTGTATCGTGTTTATTTATGATTTATGAACGTGTGTTAGTGTGTATATTATTCCGTAACTGTAGAAGTTATAAACTTTGATGTCATATATTAAGAGGTACATAAATGTATATGATATCATTACTACACATTGATAGATAAAGAAGAAGTTTATCATATAATTCATATTTCGGGTGCGTGTTCCATGTTATTAGCTAATAATGAATCTGTAGATCCAAATAGGTAGTTTTTAAGCATGGCTTCGTTAATGTGTTGTTTTGAAAGAATTACAGCATAGATGGTCTCTAACTCTTCATTTTTTTTTGATCGGGTATTACATATTTGATTAAAAAAAAACGTTGATAACATCCTTGATCCTTGTCAGCTAGAAATACCTCTCCAAAAAGGATACATATAAACCTAGCTCAACACTATGTATTAAATACATATCAAACAATATCAAATTTTTATTACCCCAACAAAAACCAGAGACAGAGAAAATTACTCAGTTTGAATCTCCAACTTTATGATTTCAACATGACCATCTGCTCCCTTCTTGTTCATGACATGATCA